TGGGCTTAGGGCAATTTTTAACATACTGTAATGAAATATTACAAAAAAGCCCTTACTATAATATGATTTTTACATTTTTTTAGGGGGGGCAATTGCCCCCCCTAGCCAGCGTGAGAAACAGAAGAGAGGGAGATCTTGTCGATGGAGAGGGAGACAGGGAGAGAGCGGGCGCGGACGGCGGAAGACTGTGGGGCCGGGCGAAATAGCGTGAGAAACAGAAGAGAAAGCTGGGCTTAGGGCAATTTTTAACATACTATAATGAAATATTACTAAACAGCCCTTACTATAATATGATTTTTACATTTTTTTTAGGGGGGGTAATTCCCCCCCTGGCTATATGCTGATTCCGCTCTTGAGGTTGAGTACAATGCTTTATAGTTTCATATTCTTTAATTAATGGGAAGAGCATATCTCTGTAACTTTACTTATATAGTGAATCATTTTATTTGGGATAGCTCTCGTAGTGTTTTTTTTTTTCTTTATTGGGATTTTTATGTAAAAAAATTGGTGTCTCTCATATTCCTTTTTTTTAACTTTGTTTATCTATTTTTTGATGCAAAGTGATGATACAAAATTATCTCTTTATTAGCTTAGATTTTCTTGCATGTAATAGTTTATCACATCTATGAAAAATTATGATTAAAGAGACTTAACTTGTTCAAGTGTCTCAATAGGATGTCTACGTTGACAACATAGAGTGGTGACATATTTTAATTTTTATAACATGTCTTTTGTTCAAGGTTTATTATACATTTTTATAGATTGTAGACATTGATGAGAAAATAGAGAGTTAAATGATATCTCAAAAAAATTTAATTAATCAACATAAATCTTGATGCATTTCATGTGATTTTTCATAATATAATTTGAAAGAATTATTCTTTTATTTTTTAATATATGACAACGAGAGCCATCTAATTTCTTTTATCAATATAAATGCCAAAACGAAAATAAATTATTGATCAAAACATCAATATATACATATATTTATTTCCCAAAAATTATTTATATAACTCATGATCTATACAATAATAGCACAACTACTCTGTCATGAGTACAAAAGAATAACTACAATAATAAAAACTGAACATAAACCTAAAGGATCCTGATCAATCTTATACTCCTGCTCTATTATCTTGACATAAAAATATTTAAATGAGCTAAAAAACCCAAAAGGTCAACAAAACCTACAATTGAACTCAAAGCATGATAAAAAAGCAATATGCATATCAACAGTCAAATCATAACACTTATATTTAGATGATCATTGAATCAATACAAAAATAATAAAATTGTATGGTACAAAAAATTATTAATCAGTGTGTCAAATCACTAAAGTAATCATCATATCAATATTAGAATTAGTAGATAAATCATATAAAGCGATAAAATCAAATCATTGATAAAGACTATTAAAATCAAATCAATATAATAAAATTATATAGAAGTGTACACATTATATATAATTGTTCTATATTAGTATTAAATCAATATATTAATCACATGCTCAATGTATATATGATGTTTTTTTATCAATAAATTAGTAATAGTTTTAATAATAAATCCATCTAGTAATATAAACAATGCCTCAATAACATTAATTCATTTCAATAGTCACACTAAATAAGTAAATTTTTTTTCTATCACGATGTTTTTTAGTATCATATAAGTGACAGTAAATTATTGGCTCAATAAACAGAGTCGTTACTCTTTGCTCATCAGCATAGTAATTATTTATATATTACTCTCATTTAGTAACACATGAATCAATTTAGGATAACACAAAACTATATTATTTAAAGGAAAGCCTCATCGACTCACCATCATGTACAAGTCAATAAGACTCCAACCAATGAATCAATCAGTATTTACTTATCTTTTACACATACATTATGATCATAGTATTATAATAGTAATTTCAATAGCATATTCATATTCATTTTCAATATATTACAACAAATAAAATATAATTGAACTTAATTTAAAAATTATCAAAATGTCTCAACAGTAGGTAATGAAAATACTACTAAATAAAAATTCACTTTTTAAAAAATGTATTAAATTATCAGAGATTATATAAAATAATATTTTGAATCTTTAATTAAATTGAAGCACTATTTTAGATGTTAAAATAATTTTTGAGTAGGTAAAAATAGTTGTATTTTTAAAATTACATGGAAAAAATATCAAATAAATACTCAAAAAGTTTATAATCTTAATTCTATAATATATAAAAAATTACGTAGTGAAATATTTGCCAATATAAAATTATTCTCATTTTCCAGTAACATATATAAATACAAAATGGATAGAAAAAATTTATAAAATATTTGAAATCAGAAATATGATTATAGATTCTTACAACGAGACAAATAAAGACTCCAGAAAAAACATTTGATTGGGCCAGAATATGGATTATTACATTTCATGTGTTGGAGACTTCTAAAAATAAATTCAAGATCATCCAAGCTCCAATTTCAACAAATTCATAGTCGAACGACTCGGCAAGACAAACCCAATAATATCAAAGGTGATGCAATTCAACTCCACATGTGCCTAAATCAAGCTCTTAATGCATGATAGAAAACTTCAAGATATTAATTAAATGAACAAACTGTCTTTAAAATTTTTATACCTATACATGCTTATGTCAACTCAAGTTTCTTGATGAGACAAACCTAATAAGCTTAAGATCACTCAATTTTATTTCATTTAAGGCACTTATTAAATGAATAATTTATGATCATCCAATTACCATCATTTAATTGTCGTTGCATGACCGTTATTGTTTGACCATCACCGCTTAACTATTACAATCCATAATATGCCATTAGATTGTCATCATCCATCCACTATTACCCAAACGTCATCCAACTATCATCCCGCCGGTCTATCGTCATCTAACTATAGTTGCATGAATAACATCTTTTGACCTTCCATTATTACCCCTCAACTATTTTTCTAATGTCACGCTCTAGGATCTATAGTGGAAGAATTTCATCTTTTTTTCTTTAATATTCATGTTTTCTATTGTCAATTCATATTATTATATATGTTTTTGGTTAACAATCAATACTCATTTATAACGAGATAATCACAAATCAGAGTTGACTAATTGCATTCAGGGATAAATATAAACAACAAAAATATAATTACATTGATATTGGCAATATTTCTATCCTGATTCAAAAGTCAAAAGTCCAAAATAATATATATAATAATTCAACACGCTATAGAAGAATATATAAAATCAAAGAACTTAAAATAAAACTAAAATATCATTACAACTAAGCCTTAATCCACAATTTTCTTATATTTACATGAAATCATATAAAATCATGTAATTAGCATAAAAGTCCAACAAGTAATTTAAATCTTACATCTGAAACAAATTCATAAAAAGAGAAACATTATACTGTAAATTGTGCAAGAAAATTAGTAAATCAATATCTTTTGCACCAGTCACTTGTATCAATTTATCAATATGTTATATAGTTCATCTTCGTCTAACAATTATATACATTATCAATTTTGATTATACATCAATCTTTATTAGTTAATCAAACAATCAAGCTGTATCATTTAATTGGTCTCATTCAATCAATCAATCTCATCATTCATTCTATATTATTAGTTGACCATTTATATTAGCAAAAATAATCATATCAATATTCTTATTATATATTAGTACTATATATTTTATATTAGTACTCTTATTATTTATCAAATATTCAGATGAGGGTACCTTAATCTTACTCATACACTTATGTCTCATGTATCAGTTGTCACATCCCAAAATTTAACTTGGAAGAATTCGAACAGTCGAAATCAAAATATTTAAAAATACGAATAGGATAAAATTCACCAACCACAATCTGAGCAATTTTTGTAAAAGTGTCGAAACAAATCGACAACCAAAATATGGATTGTCTCTTCCTCTCTCCTCTTTCCTTCCCCTTTTATTTCTTCCTTCTACGGCAAGCCACGATGCAAGGGTGAGGGAGGCGAGTGAGTGGAGGAATATTACATTTCAATATGATCATATCACATCATAGTACATCACTTTCAACTCGTTTTCAACATATGTTTTCCCTACTCATTTCACATAGAAATTAATATACACATATTTAATTGATAAAAATATAATAAAATTACATCAAATTATTTAGAGTGATCAAATTTATAATATATCAAAAATTACACGATGAAAGCTTATGAAATCAGGAAATGATACATTTTTGATAGATTTAGAAGAGAGTTGGCGGCAAAGTAAAATAGCAATGCATTTAAACCATTGGTTAATCAAAGGTGGCTAACGATGATAGCGACCAACAACAAAGAGAGTTAGTGACAAAGACAGCTGACCGACTTCATTTTTATCAAACCTGTGTAGTATTTGCTCAAAATAAAAGAATTCTAAATAAACTCAAAAGTCAAAATAAACTAAACAATAATTTTGATCCACCCCTAAAATATATTATATTTAAAATACAATAGTCCAAACATCTATTTTTTTTTTTTTAATTCTTATATTTACCTTCCCCTTACTAACTCCCTTATGATGTATAGAGTCAATTCCTACTTCAGGTAAACAGCCCCATCTTGTAGTATTTAGCATTCCTAGCTGCTCGTTTATTCCCGCTAGAGTGGTCTCTCTACTTCTCCATTGGAAACCACAGAGAGAAAGCTTCCACTTATCGTCGTCTCTCTCTTTCAGAAGCAAGGGCTAATGCTTCTTCTTCCTGCTCTCAAACCTATTCGTGCTCGCCTCCCACCTCATCGAATGGCTTTATAGGGTTTCTTTATTTTTTTTCTGACTTCTTACAGAGGCAGTTAATACAGGAAACGAGGCTACCGCCCAGGAAGCTCTTGAGCTTCTCATTGAGCTTGCAGGCACAGAACCCCGGTTTCTCAGGCGCCAGCTGGCAGATGTGGTTGGTTCTATGCTCCAGATAGCTGAAGCTGGAGGAAAGGACTAGGCATCTTGCTGTGGAGTTTGTGATTACTCTTGCGGAAGCGCGTGAGCGAGCCCCGGGGATGATGAGACGACTACCCCAATTCATTAGGAGCCTCTTTGCTGTGCTGATGAAGATGTTGCTTGATATTGAGGATGAGCCAGCTTGGCATGGGGCTGAAACTGAGGATGAGGATGCTGGAGAGACGAGTAACTACAGTTTGGGACAAGAGTGTCTTGATCGACTGTCTATTGCCCTAGGAGGGAACACCATTGCTCCAGTTGCCTCAGAATTGCTTCCGCAGTATTTAGCAGCACCAGAATGGCAGAAACGTCATGCGGCTCTAATTACTCTTGCACAAATTTCGGAAGGGTGTGCAAAGGTATCAAAATTGAAATAATTTTGTTAATCCTGCAAGGTTGTTCGAATTGGCTTGTTTTCTGTGACTAATGCTATTGAGATTAAATGATCTGTCATCCTCATTGCAATGAGCTTATATTTGATTGACAGCCAACGTTTTCCATAATCTTTAAAGCTCATTTTGGTGTTGTTTTTTTTTTTTTTTCAGGTCATGATGAAGAACTTGGAGCAGATTGTTTCTATGGTATTGAACTCATTTATAGATCCACATCCTCGTGTACGCTGGGCAGCTATAAATGCCATTGGACAGTTGTCCACAGATTTGGGTCCTGATCTTCAAGTTCATTATCAGCAGCAAGTGCTGCCAGCTCTGGCCTCTGCTATGGATGATTTCCAGAATCCTCGCGTGCAGGCAAGTAGTTCCACAATGCTGTGACTGCTGTCATGTATCGTACCACATCATTTACGTCTTCCTAGGAACTGGGAAAAAAAAAGGTTGATAAAGCTAATCTGATATAGCTTTGGATAAAGCTTTTGCTAATGCAGAGACACGTGTTTTTTTCTTTTTATTTTTTTAAAAATTTTGTATGTATTGTTATTGTTGCTTCTGTGTAATTATTTTTTGTTAGCATTACCAATCCATTCTTGCTACTGTTCTTGTTAAGAGTTGCATTGATGCTATTTATATTTTTGGTTAGATACCTTGATCATAACTTGAACTGTATATCCATGCAACGGCATTTCTTCATTAAAATGTTTAAAGCTTTCTGTTCAAACTATGAATTTTTTAATGGTTCCCCATCACACATTTCAAGAAACATGCTTTCTTTCATCAAAGATTTAGAGGATTTACGATCTATTTTTAATGTACTCATCTATGGAAATTTGAATATACATGAACTCCATGATTCTTGCATTGTCTTTTTTTTTTTTTTTTTTAAATGTCTACACAAGGAATCACCAATTAAAAGACCATATTGATGATCTAAACTTTTAGTAGGAGTCAAACATTTCAAATATAGAGTCATATAAGAAAATTTAATTGGTTCTCATTTCTTTTGCATTGCACATAGTATGGAGCATGCTTTTTTTTTATTTATAATCTTCCGTACGTTTTATCGCCATTATAAATCTTGTCTCAGGCATCAGCTTGGTTTCATGACACATTTATGGTTTTGAATTGAGGTAGTATGTTTAGAATGATCTCATCCAATGTTTGAGAACATACGATATGGTATATTTAACTCTTCTATTTTGTGGGAAGAGATCTTTGCTACCACTGGTTTGGCTAAACCGGTTTGCTTTGATTTCAAAAGCATGAATGATCACTATGCTTTTATTGTGCTATCATGATTCACATAAAAATTTGATACCATTTTAGTTAGTATCATGTAAAAATTTTATTTTTGAAATGTTTGAGCTTTTGTTATTGTGTTATCTTAATGGATCAAAATTAACTAGTTGTAATAATGTGAGTATGTTCTTGTTGTTTATGGCAAAAGATGATTAGTTTGAACCTTGGAGGCTAGATAATAGTAATAATTAGTCGTTTTTATATTATGGCGTCTTTGTGGCTTAAGCTATGATGTATTAAACTTTATTCCAACATATTTGATATATTGATATGATGTATTGTATATTAAAGTGATGGTCGAAAAACATAAAAACTTCCTCATGGTCATACTTGTTACCATGTTGAAAAGGGAAATAGAAAAAGTGTACTGTAGAAAGAATGTTGAATCTAACAATGCACTGACTCCGAAGTTCTAAATCTTGTTTGAGATTTGGATTTAGTACTGAGTAATGCTCTTCTCATAAGGCATAAACATATCTTGTTAGAAACCAATTACACAAGTTTCCTATTAGTCTGACTTTGCTCAGCAAGTACAAGTGGTTCTTCATTGTTCACAGTAATGATATTATAAAGGTTTTTTTTCAACATAGGGTACCATTTTTTATTCTTAAATATATTGAGATTTATGCACTTCTTTTTTTTTCTCTCTACAAGAATCACTTACGTTTTTCTTGCCAGATTCAATCGTTGTGTTTAAAATTTTATAATTAGATTTTCTGGTATCATGTACTTATGTTTGGAGCCCTTTTTTATTCTTACCATTTTATTGTTTGACGGCACTTGTGCTTCAGTTTGTAATACAATTTCATTGAGAATGCACTCCTGATATTTAATCACTTACTTGGATGGCATTGTTAGCAAATGCTTGTGTTGCTTCAGGACATAAAGTTTCTTTCTTTCTTTCATTTTTTTCTTATTGCTATTTAGGGAAGATGACCAAAGTTTTTTTTGGTTGTTTACATTTAGATGGGAAGCAGAATGGTGGAAGAAAGGGGCATTTGACAGCTCTAGCGCAGTTGCTGAATTCATCTCAGGGAAAAAAATCATTAGGGAGATTTTTTTTTTTGTTGGGGGTATTATCTTGGACTTCCTTTGATGTTTGCATATTTAGCAGGAGCACTTTCAAAATATATGAATGGCCTGTTGGCATATTTAAGTTTTTTGATGAATGCCACTGACCAGGCAAATGAACTTAATATAACCTTTCTATTAAGAACAGATGTCATCTAATAGAATAAATAAATTATGAAAATATTTCACTATTATCTTGCAATCTTTTAGATTTCTTCTTTCATGAATCACATTCTAATGTTTTGTTTGGAGAATATTTCTAAAATAATTGCTTGAAGCAGGTTAAGATTATAAGTATATTGATGAAATTGGTATTTGGGTCTTTTGAGAAATTAAGTTTTAACACCTCAAAATGGCAAGTTAAATGGTGACCTCTCAATAGGAGATGACTCATGCTCAGGATGGAACCTACTTATTCAGTTTTTTCTATGCATCGTAGCGCCATTCTCACCAAAAGTGTAGATCCATATTTGATACACTCGTCTCATATTTCGACAAATAAAGGCATTCTGCATGGCCCAGGTATATTAGACAGTCATGTATGTGGATTTCCAATGAATGATTAGTTTTCTGATCACGGACAACTTTACAGTGTTTCATATTTTGTCTTTTTACTACAGTGTTTTTCTCGAGATATGGGATCGCACGGGTTTCTGCCTTTGTAATTGACCAGCAGAACAAAAGCGTAAGGTTCATGGATTGAAAAGATTTGAATTCCTCGGTATTTTTACAGAGAACTTACATGAGGTGATTCTTTAAAAATGAAAAAATAACAATTTTTGTCATCTATTTTTGAGTTAATAGCACAATGATGGTGTTTTCTGATTTCTTTCATTATTAATCTTTAAGCTTTCATTACTTTCTTTCTCGTTATACTTGGATTCTTTAGAGTTTTAGTTGCCAAATTTTTTTTATTTTTTTCAACTCATTGAATGACTTAATGGTATATAGCATGCATAGACTATTTATTCAGTGAAAATAATATATTGTATGATTGATGATGCCCAAATAATTTTAAAAAATATATTCATTTTTCTTTTCTTCTTTATGATCCTGCTTGTTTTCCCTGCTACTCAATAGAGCAACATGAAGAACAAGGGAATCATGATAATCAAGAAGAGAGTCCTGACATTTCTTCTTGCACTGAGTTTTTAGAGAGAATTTTATTAGAAGCTTTAATACCTCCTCAACACTATCAGAGTATTTGATATTCAAACAACACGTAAGTAATTATTTAAAAAATATCATATATTATATTAAGATTAATTTTTTTATTTAATCTAATCACAAGATATTATATTAATAGTACTGATTTTGTACATATGTAAGAATTTCTTATGCATATGTTCATAAAAAAGAATAGGAAAATACATGAATGTAGAAGATGGAGCATGTGTTGGCAAACAAGCAAGGCTATTTAAGGATTTCTTCAGACTTGTGCCTGAGAGTGAAAATATTATGTTCTCTTCTTGCTAGATTGGTAAGCCAATTATTTTTCTTGAATTTATGTACTTTTATGATTTAGTAGTTATTAACTTGAACATCTTTATCTTATTTGAATATATCTGTTTCATATCAATGTTCATCATACAAATTCAACATGTTTTTATGTACAATTTTTGTAGGACGAAAATGTTCCATTAGAGGAAAGTTGATGTTTTGTCTGCATCGCCTGTCAATTGACATCAAATCAAGGATATATTACTTCCAAATATCTTTTTGCGGATTTGGTGGTTTGTGGATGATTATCTAGTCATATGGAATCAATTCTTTGAACGAGATTAAGTAATATACATCAATTCAAAACAAGCTTCCAGATCTCAGCAAGATTGAATTGTCAAAAATGGCCTCATTGCTCTTATTCTTTGTAAAGCTTGGTCAATGTATATCTTTAGTTTTGGGTAGAAGATTTTAATGGCTACCTGAGGTAAAGTGGAAAGAAGTTTCTGTAGCGATGTTTGTAACTGAATAATGAATATGATATTTTTGTTATCTATGGCTATTTGTAGGAGTTTTTTTGTTTGACTTATTATGTTAAATTTGAGTCATGAAATCATACAGCCTGTTGTGATGGCACAATTGTGTAATTTATCATGTAAGAGTTTCTCAAGGACATGAAATAGAAAAAAAATATGTTGATTTGTGTTTTTGAATATATATTATAGTATGAATTTTAAATTATTAATAATTTGCGTAAAAATTAATAGCTTATTCTCTTGCATTGTATGTATATGCTTTAAGTATTAATCAATTGCTTGATTGTTTATAATTTTATTCTTTTTAATTTTAACACATCAAACATAAGATTTATTTGCTGATAATAATTTTACTAATTCAATAATATGTGCAGTGCTTTATTCATTTTGTAATTGATACAAATTGGTTTTGACTTTTTTTTTTTCCATGCTAAAGAATAGCAGTCATTTTAACCGCTATAGTAGAATAAGTGCGGTTAAAATCGCTGCTATTGCAGATTTGAAACAGTTCACAAACCGTCGCAAAATACATTACTAGCAAATACAAATATAATGGATTTGTAGTGGTCATTAAATCACTGCACTTATTTCTTAAGTGTTTTAAATTGCTGCAATAGATTAAAAAAAGGTTGCTAAAGCCCTATTTATTAGTAATGTCCTGAATAATTCATATATTTTTCATTTGATTATTTCGTTCTTTGTAATCCTAAGTGTAACAGAATTTCATTCTTCCTATTTCTATCAATATTGTTTTATTTATTATCTTACTTTAAAAGTTAAAACAACAAAACAACCTACATATCTAGTGAATTTAGTATTTAAAATCAACAAAACAGCTTATATTTCTATCAATATTTTACGATAGATTCCATAACTCGAAAATTAAACATAGTAAGTAAAAAAAAAAAAACTCCTAACATGCATACAAATATCTCATATTGACAAACATCTTGTATTCATGCGTCCATTTACAGGCAATGCTATAAAACCTTCGTTTCACTTGTTTCTTATGTAACCATAGATTATCTCATTCCAAAGCTAAGTTCCACATGACAAATCTTCACAACGAATAAATGATAATGAAGATCATTTTTACCATATCATTTTGCTGAAGATATGTGAATCTTATTTTCGGCATTGATGTGTATTACTCGACACATCGTTCAAAAGATCAATATTATGCGAGTGAGATGAATAATCACGAAACCACTAAAGTCCCATAAGATATTTAGAAGAATATGTCATTGACTTGATGCCAATTGAAGTTGATGCAAACCAGCATCATATTTTTCTCGATTGAACATTTCCTCCTACAAAGTTACTTAT